TCAGTTTCTTGCAATCTCCTTGAGAAGGCTTGATGGCACCTCCAATGTCGTTGCGTGGGGTACCACTGGGTTGAGGTTGTCAGTACGATATCTGCAGTACGGTATGAGTCGTGATGATGCTGCCCACTATCATCGTTGTCATCATTACCATCACCATCGCCGGAACAGATGTTCTTCAACTCCTCGCAGTCGTAGAGCTGTCACTAAGTGTCTGCGTTATGACCAAGAGTGCGATGACGTCGCTGTTTGTGAATTGTAGAGTCTTCAGCTGAGTGAAAGTCCATGCGCGCGCGATCCCGGTGGAGATCAATGGTAGCAATGCTCCTACTCAGGTCTGGAATGCTCCAAAAGTTTGGAGGCGGGGATCCCCGATACCCACACCGGTAAAGGAGCCATAGGGTTTAAGGCTGTTCCTCCTCCTCCTCCTTGAAACGGCACACCTGTTAGCATGGCGCCTTCTTCAGATCTCGAAAATTGCGCGGCTGAGCTCAGCCATGGTCAGGTACTATATTCTCTACACGGTTGCAGATAGCCTCTGGAAGCCGGGAGCTCGGCACTGTAGTGTTCAGGGTTTACCGGATTTAGATGGTTTGTGCCACCTCTGACCTTCAATTGCCGAGGTGGCTCTTTCCCGGGCTGCATGCGCAAGTCATGCCTGGAGCTGAGGAAGTCATCTTCACTGTAGGGCCTGGCGGCACGGGCCGGCATGGCCGGTAGGACACCCACGCCACCCATGCTCTGCACGTCCCCGCCCTTCCTTAAGCTTCAGAATTGGGGCCATTGAAAACCGCGGAGGGGGCGGCCCCAGAGCCAGGTCCGGGAGCTTCATCGAACGTGGGTTTTTCATACCGTCCCGGGCTGAAGGTTGCGGAATTTCACTTCACGACAAAATCCCAGAAACGTTCCAGGCCTCCCCTCGGCACCCGAAGGGGTGCTCCTGATGCTCATGATGCGCTCCCGCCACGGCTTCCAAAAATCATACAAAAAACAACACGCCATGTTGTGGGGGGAGCCTCATCGGAGCTGCTTCGAAGATGGGCCCGCCCCCGATGCCCTCTCACAGCTCCCTGGAAGGGAAACACAGGGTCCGATGATGTGCAGGGATGCGGGGTCGGCGGCGCTGGCGGCACCCCGCGAAAGCTAAAGCTTCAGCTAGCGAGCTGCCACGCTGGCCATGACGGCCATGCCGGATTCTATAGGGGCTGCGCCCACGGGCGGACAGCGCAGGAAGCTGCCCGCAGCCAGGCCACTCACCCCGCCTCCGCCGAACCCCGCTCATGCTGATGATGCGAGCCCTTTGGAGGCTTCCGCAACCCACTCAAAAATTAGCAAAAAATAGCCTCGTGCGCCGGGTGCTCATGCTGCTCGCCGGATGCCCTCCTGGGCTCGTCCACTGGTGCCCCAAGACCCGCCATAATGTGGGGAATGGCCGCAAAACGCGTGCGTTGCCGGGTGCTTGCTTGAGCGTGTGTACTGAGATAGACCGCAATGAGAGCTATGGGGGGTCGAGCGGCGGGTGAACATAAAAATCGGTGGTCAAACACAACTTCTGGGCGCCGGACCGGTGGGTGGGCGGATCGTCACAGCACATCACGGCCATGGCCGTCACAGTTCCAGTTATGATAGAGACAGAAGCTTGCAGTTGCACATCGACGTTTCCTGCGCTTTGGCGGCTTGGCCAGGACCGGCCTTTGGTTAGCTTTCTTGCGTGCCTTCAACGCTCGGGCTTACATCGAAGCTGCCTGGCCCTCGTAGCCATGGCCATCTCCTGTGCGTGGTTGTGGGCCTCTTCTGTTTCGGTTTCAGACGGGCCTCCGCAATTCGACAAGGCTTGTAGGAGACCATAGGGAGCATGGACTGGGGGGACCTGACCAATGCCGCTCTTGCAGGGTGCTTTCGGCCACGAGAACTATGGGGCTGAAGTTTTCTAGCGCGGAAGTCTGAGTCTAAGTGTTCCCGGATGCCTTGGAAGGCGCATGAGATGCAAGGATTGTGTTCTGATAGTACACCTCCTAGCACAGCTTGGAAACGCTTCAACGTCGCGGCTCAGCTTGACTCAGTCTTCGTGTGCCCCTTATGCATGGCTGTGAAGGTCGTGAACCGCGTGGTATCGCTCCTGAACCAGCAGGCTTGCAGGTTGCACTTTAACTTTCATGTAGTGCAACGTGGTTTCAGCTGTGACGCTCTTAGCTTCCGCTGGTTGTGTGTGTGTGTGAGTAAGTAACATGCGATGACTTTAGGTTCGTCGACAAGAAGCAAGCTGCACTTCGAGCAGAACCTTTTCGAATTCCGTGGGGTTGGGTTGTAGTCGAAGAGATTGCCAATAGTTTCGACTACATGCAGCACCACAGGGACCGTCCTTCTACCCAAAGGAGGTGTTCCGACAAACCCAGGCCAAGGGCCCAGTCAAGCACTAGTCCAGAACCCACATCTATCCCACTGGCAGCTTCGCTAGGCGATTTCGCCCTCAGGTTTGGTGTGTTTTCGGTTTAGCATTGGGCGCAGAGTCGAGGGCCGTTGGCAAACAGGCAAAGCTGCTGAGTGGAGGTCAGCCAATCCAGATTCCGGAGGCACAGATGTGGGCAGTGGTGACATCAGGGCCGGTTGTCTTGACTGAAGATTCGCTTCTGAGAGCTGGTAGACTTAGAGGTAACCGTCGCAGCACGAACCGGAGTCGGGAGGACGGAAGTCGCTTTAAACTGCACTTGCCGATCTCAGGAAGTGCTGGACAAGCTGTGCGTGCGCTTGCGCAATGATGGCGAACTTCTTCAGGCTCCCTCGGTCGCCATCTGTGATTCAGGTTTCGCTCATTTTCACTCATCAGTTTCGATCTTGGAGTTCCGGGGAGTTATCTATATTATGTATGTATGTATGTATGTATGTATGTATGTATGTATGTATGTATGTATGTATGTATGATGTATGTATGCATGCATGCATGTATGTATGTACACATGTATCATAAAGTATATCATATATATATATAGACATACAACATGATGTGTAATAAAGGTAACTAGCAAGACCCGTTCGATCCGAATCCGGGGTGCCTCTTTGCTCGTCACCAGTTTTTGTGGTTCAAGTATGTTCGAAGCTCCGTCCATGAGCTTCTGCAGTCTCGCCCAAGAGTTAGCAGCCCAGGTGCTGGGAAGCCCCGCAGCCTTGAGCTTGTGGTACAAGCTGGAAAGGCCGCTCACTATGACTAGAGGCAATTGCAGGGGTTGTCGGTGACAGGGCGAAGGTCCATGTTCTTGCATTTTGCTGGGAAGCAATCCACCCCGAACCATGTCGAGTCAAATTCTCATGGCAGCGGCAGGAGCCCTCTCGACAGCCCAAAGCTGCGCATGCCAGAGGACTCGCAGCAGAAGTATGTTTTAAAGGCCATGGAGGGCAATGACTTGTGCGGAGCTTGCCAATCTAAGCTATGTGGAGGTGCTTTCAACACACCTAAGGGCTGACCTGCTTTGGCCTGCTGCGGCTCTCCTCGACGATGATCATGCATAACAGTATTTGACAGACAGTGAATAGCGTTGCTCTTCGTGCTCAAAAATCTACAGCCTGCAGAATTGATTCACCCTTGGTCAGAGTCAGAGTCTAGCTGAACTTGCGGAGCCTCCGTTGCCTTTGGAACTCAGTGCTTTCTCGGATTCGTTGCTGCTCGTGGTTCGTTACACATGTAATGAGATTGGCATCTTCTGTAACGGTCCGGCACTCGCCAGCCAGGCTCTCACCGACGGCTACTACCGCGATATCCAGGTGCCGATCCTCACGCCTGGCACATTCTGATCTGTCCATAGCATTACTGGACAGTCTATGTGCACATAATTTGTATATAACGGGTCTACACGAATGCAAGCTTGTCTGCTCCCGTCCGCCTGCCGAGCTTCTTGGTCGACAGATGTGACCTGCGAGTAGCCAGGCAGTCGTGAAAGAGGTCGTCCTCGTGGCATCTGCGCAGGAGGCGGCACGGGGCTGGCGGCAAACTTGCTGGGTTTGTAGAACGAGGGCGATCCTGCTGGTGTTAGGGAAGCTATGAACCCAAAAGTTCAGGCATGTTTGATGTTCCCGCAGGTAGATACAAGTAGGGTGTGTGCATGTGAGTGGCGTGGCGTGGCTGGGCACAGGCACAGGCAAGCGCAAGCGGCTGAGCCCACAAAACCCCAAACTCCAGCCAGCCTGAGCCGTTGCCGTTCCATTCATCGAGTGGCACTTTCATAGGCTATAGGTCATTGTTACCGATTGCCGATGACCACTTTTTCATTGCGCTCGCAAAGTTGGGTTTCCAAACTGCGCATCAGTCGATCGGCTTTTAGGGTTTCGGGTTTAGATGCGTTTAGGGGTTTAAGGTTGATCGGCTGATTGGCTGATGCAAGGTTTAAGGTCCAAACGCTAGGCACACTGCACTTTTTGGTGTCCTTCGTACCACAAGGCCTCTTCAAAGATGCGACAGCTCCACGAGGCCTTGCTTGGGGCAAGACTGGTTCAGACTACTCCCTACTCCTCGCCACAAGACTCTTGCAGAAGACTACAACTCCCAGAGTCAGGCCGGAAGTGGACAACTCCCGGAAGTCCCCGGAGCCCTTTTTCTCATCCTTCGGGTCTCGAAATCCTGCTCCCGACTTGTCGCTGATCCATCCCCACCCGAAACCGCAATCCCCAGGCGCTGGATGCGGTTCGCTTTGCCGCCAAAGCCAAAGGGGGCCCGCTGACGCAGGGCACTGGCGGCCTAATGAAGCAGGCTTCACGTTGGTGGTAGTATGAAGAATATTCATAACATAAACAGTCAATGATATCAATAATTAAGAATAGTAGTAACATGATGAGTATTCATCTAGTCACCATGGTCACTATAGTCGGTGTACGACAGATGGAGAGGGGACTACTGCGGGATACTTTTGTGACATAAACTCGGAAGTCGGCGGCCGCCCAAGCACCTTGCAGTTGCTAAGTTCAGGTGCAGCTAGCAGTAACTAGCACACGAATAATCTTGGCAACCTTTGCGAGTCAGCTTGTAACACAGTTCAGCTACGAGTTGTTGTAGAGATTTGCATCGGCACAATATTATTCCATGTTTTGAGGTGCATGTGGAAACTGTCCTCCATCTTGATCAGGAAGGTGTAGAGCTACTAAGCCCTTCCTGTGCGACGAAGCTCAAGGGGCCCAACGGACACTGCATTTTAGGGCTTGTCGGAGCCAGCTTCCCAGAGAAGTTTGCACACTATCACTTTCGTGTCAGACATGCTGGAGATAGTTTCCAAATATGCCGGGTAGCATTGTCATAAACCTTGACATCATCAGTCTTCCACTCTGACATGAAATCATACCCTCAAGTTTTGGGGCAGGTTGACAAGGCCTCAGCAGAGGCAGCAGATGCTCTCATTACTCTCAGCCAGGCAGGGTTGAGCCAAGATTTCCTCAGCCCTAAACCCCGAGAGCAAGCCTGCGCTGGCGCAGGAGAGGGGCAAGATCAATTGAGCTGGCTTTCGAATTCTGTCGTAATGCATTACCTTGTTTCTGTGTTGTTCTGTGTGGAGGCTCTGGAGACAGCCGGCTAAACACTGTGCAGGTCTGCCAGCTGACTGAAAGATAGACTTTAGTTGCTCCTGCTGCTCAGATCTGCTAGTATGACATGCTTCCTGGGACGGCTTCAGAATCGCCAAGTGCAGTGCGTTGGTTCCCTCTTGAGTGGAGGCAAAAGTAGAAGCGCAAGAGGCTGCGATGCGAGTGGGAAAGGCGCGTGCAGCTTCGGAGGACTTTGCGGCTTCCCAGTGGCTGACATTAAGTTAAATTAAAGTCCGCAGGCTGGATTGCCCATCTGCGCGTGCTTTCACAAGACCTAGGCACTGTCGCAGTAGCGCTCTCATTTTGACCAAACTGTCAAATTGTGCTGCGGTCTGCAATGGTCGTTCATGTTGGTTATCATCATCATGACCGCGATGATGATAGTCGTCACCGCTGGAGCAAATCATTAGTAACGGCCAGTAGCACGACCATTGCGATGTTCATCCTTCCGCTTGCTCAGCGTGAGCAAAGCCGAGCCCCTGAACCAACTGGCGTAGCAATAAGTGTCACAAGCATGGCTTTTGGTAATCGTGGTAACAAACTTAGCATCACCAATGGTTCCGAACTGCAGCGAACAGTTCCAATCTCACATGACTTGAATTTCGGAAAACGGTCAGGGCTTGGGCAAGACCTGGCAAGCAAAGCTTGATGAGCTGATGGTGCGAAGCTCAGAAGCCCATGCTTGGCCCACCATCCCCCTTTAGTCAGTCAGCATGGACCCGTCGGGAGGCTTTATAGCCTGGGGCACACAAGGGCATTCGTCTGAACATACGTAACAACTTGCCGAGACAATCCTGAACTTGCTTCCGTGGTATTGTAAGAGATGCTACTACTATTGCGCATAGTAAGCTTTTCGAAGAGGTGGTTACTTACGGCTTTTGCGTGAGGGTTAGGGCTCGGGTTTTTGCGGATGCTAAGGTGGAGCATGTATACAGAATGTGCTTCAGGCATCTTCGTGGCTTCAGAGTTGTCCCCATGCTCCTCCATGCACGAGAGAATCCAAAGAGCCAGAACTCAGGTTGCCCACAAAGAGGTCCCAGACGTCGTTGCTGAACTGCGCAGACTGGATCCAAGCAAGGCAGACATCCACGGGTACGTAGAGAACTGGTTGCAGAGCTTTGAGGGATGATTCTGTCAGTGGCTTTCATGGTTCAGGCCTGTCCGCCACAGATCCTTAATCGAAGCCGAAACTCTAAGTAACCTGCATAAAAAGGGTTGAGGCCGCACTGCTTGCAATCTGTAGGCCAAAGGATCCAACAGCTCGAGCAAGAAGAGCTGATGCACCTGTCGGCACCCGAGTTCCTACCGGTCTGTGATGTTGACTCGGCTGTTGCACGCTGAAAGCAACATGCGCACGAAGATGTTGTACTGAGGCAGAAAGCAGTGAAGTGCATCAGCAGAGTGGTAGGTGGTCTCCGCCGAATCGACCGAGCACGATGTGCTTTGACAAAAGCTCTCAGACTCCCCTTCACCAACGTCTTGAAACCTGGCTTTCAATCTGGACATGGGCCGCTTAGCTTTGCTGTAATTCTGGTACCCGGCACTGGCTTTGTGGAGCCCAGACTCAGACTAGGCATGAGAAATTCAGACCTCACAACTGTCAATCATCTAGCTCCCGGGTCAATCCATATTGACACGAACGACCGTATCTAAAACTGCGGCAACCATGATGAAGTTCCGTATACTCCGTGCTAAAGCTAACTTATCGCGGTTCTGCAAGACACAGTCATGACAGGTTAGTTCACGAATGCCGACGCAACTAATCGCTACTAGGAAGGTCGATGACACAGCCATGACCACACGCAATCAGAATGTCTGAGTCGTAACACTGCTGGAAGATGACTTGTCTTCAGCACATTTTGCTCTCTGGTCAGTTTCGTCCGTGTGTTCTAGCAGCAGCACAGGCGTCAAATTCGTCGTCGTCATCATTGCTGCCCCCGCAGCGGTGGCAGAAGTAAACGTAGCAGCCGGGGCCGTCGTAGTGGAGCAGCAGCAGTAGCAGCAGCAGCAGTGTCAGTAGCAGTAGCAGTCGTACTAGCAGTAGTAGTAGTAGTAGTAGTAGTAGTATAGTGGTCGCAGTAGTAGTAGTAGTAGTAGTAGTAGTAGCAGTAGCAGTAGCAGTAGCAGTAGCAGTAGCAGTAGCAGTAGCAGTAGCAGTAGCAGTAGCAGTAGTAGGACAGTAGTAGCAGTAGCGATGACCGATGGTAGTCGTCGTAGTGACCGTCGTCGTAGCAGTGCTACGACGACGACGACGACTACTACTACTACTACTGCTACTACCACTACTACTACTACTACTACAACTACTACTACTTCTTCTACTACTACTACTACTACTACTACTGCAGCTACTACTCCTACTAGTACGACGGCAACTGCGACTGCTACGACTGCTGCTACTGCTCCTGCGCCTGCTCCTGCTCCTGCTCCTGCAGTGTGCAGGCTGCTGCTATTGCGACTAGTGCTACTAGTGCTACTTCTACTTCACCTCCCCCACCGCGACGACTCTAATTTAAGTCTATCTTCAGCCAGCAGGATAGCAGCAAAATGTGATTTGACTAGGGTTTGCTCGGACGGTCCAGCAAGGTATGCACAGAGCAGCACTCTTGCCCATAAATCCGAATGGAGAACAAGACATCATGAAAAACAGGCAGCAAGCAAGTCCAGATGCCTTTCTAGCTTGTTCATTCATGCCTGACAGAGAGTGGTCCACGTGCGACCCTCGTGCGCTGTCACCAGAGACATCGCGCGCCAGCGGAATGGACACCAAAGTGCCTCCAGACCTTTCCACTCTGCCAGCAGACGTCGAAGTTCCAGAGGATTTACGCCACTCTCCCCCGGCAAGCCCTGGCATCTGCATGGCAGCACCCGATGCTAGCTGTGCCGCGGACTTGCAGTGCTTGCTGATGCAGCAGCACAGGGAGATCATGCAGCAGTTGGCAGCACAGCATTCTACATTGCAGAATGTTGTGTTCAAAGCACGCCTTCAAACTACTGGTAGCCTTATGGAGCCCGCAGCATCTCCATCCCCAGTTACAGAACGCCAGTCGATCCGGTCCAGTGTGGCTTCCTCAGCCAGCTCGATTAGAGAAGTGGAAGCCAGCATGAGCATGAAAGCGGAACAATCGTCGTCCTCGCCTGGTCTTGGTCCGCAGCGCCGGTATCTGAAGACTTTCTCAGCACTTGACCGCGCACTTCGACGAGCGGCTTCCGAAGTGCATCGATCAAAGAAGGAGCTGCTCCCATCTCATGCGGAAGGTGCAGATTCCAGGCATGGCTGCCTTGTCGAGATTTGCTCACATCCGTTCTTCGAAGCAGGCTGCACCCTCGCGGTTCTGGCTAATGCGATTTTCATCGGATTCGAAACCCAGCATGCTATCCAATATCCCGGGTCGTTGCCGCCGGAGTTTTTTTTCACACAAGCAGCCTTTGCAGCAATATTTACGGTGGACCCTTGTCCGATTCCGAAAGAGGTTGTGTTTTCTCAGTGCAGGCCTTTGGCATTGCCATCAACAAATAGTCGACGACTCTTAGGAGCTTGTTGCCTGCCCGACATTTGAATGTCAGGAGCTCTTGATGCGAATCGGCGCCGGTGGCAAGCGTGTCTTCTTTTCGAACGAGTGGATGTGGGGCTGGCTGGATCTCGTCATCGGACTTAAAGGAAGATCAGGTTGAGAGATCAAGCAGACTTCCAGTTAGGCCTCAGCCCATTATCTGACGTCCAGCCTTCGACTCAACCGCCTTCACATTTGCGTGTCGTTGTCCCTCATAAGTCGAAAGCACTGGTAGAGAAGCCTAGAATGATCCAGAGGTTGTTGTGGTCACCTCCGTGTGGCAACTGGTGAATGATGCTCTTATCCTGTACTCGGAAGATGCGGGGCGAAGTGGCTGCTTGTCTCAGTGCTGTTTACCTAGAACTACCTGAACTATCCAGGCTGAGGGCTGTATTTTCTCACGTGTTGTTGCGTGCTTGTTGCACCCTGATATACATGTGTACACATCAAGGGCACCTGGTACATATAATGTCCGTCAGGAATCGCTAGGGCCAGGGTTTCAGGTTGATTGCGAGCCAGATTCCGCGACATGTTTTATTGCGGGATATGGATAAAACGTAGGCAGGGTCAGATCCAACTAGGATCAAGACAAGCTTTATCAAGATCAAAACAAAATTGAAGTACGCGTTCAAAAGGAGATCAGAAGAATGAGCAAAGCAAAGGATGGACGGAAGGAAGGAAGGATGAACATATCTTCCGCCTTGAATCTACCAGCCTCAACAGCTGATATCGTAAGAGGCACGGCAACAATGATCGTGGTACAAGGCGCGGCTGTTTCAATGGTAAATAGCCCCAAACAGACAAGTTCCAATCACTGAACAGTAGACTGCAACGTAGCATAATATCCATATACTACAACATAAAGAATGCAACAAAATGAAACGTAACATCCATCACAATACGTGCATAGTACAATGTCAACGTATTCTTCACCATATTCAACACAAAGCATACTAAGTCACGGTCACTTGCTATAGTGCAATACAACATAGTACAATATAGCGTAGTATTGTACAGTATTGGCATATAGTAGAAGTATATACCAAGCCATCATCGTTTGGCAGGATGTTATCGAACATGCGCTAAGATGCCGTAACCGAAATTGTCATAAGGAATAGAATATGGGTAGCGTGGTACAACATCTTGCAACTAATGTGGCGCTATACTGTACAGCTCAATGGAGCATTGTACAGCATCGAGCCAAGGTGAGCACGTTACCCAAGCTTCTAGAGGCCCACCTACGTATTGCCATTACGGTGTAGCAGTGCTACATAACTTTACGACCAGTAAGACACATTCTCGGGGGTTTCTCCACTGCTATAAATGGTATAAGTGATCTTTAGCACACCTCTAGGCCGCGAGGCCCCATGATTTTTTGATATTTTCTGACCCTTACTTATTGTTTTGAGCCTCGAATATTGAATGTTGATTCCATTGGACCTGACATAAGTTTTTTGATCGATCCCATGCGCCGTTACGACTGGGTGCGCCAGGTTCTGCTACAACTTTATCCAGCATCCGGGCCTTCAGAATCATCCGTGTTGCACGCATCCTGAGAGCCGTGCGAATCGTCAAAGTCCTCCGCTTTGTGACGGCGCTGAGAACATTGGTCACCTCAATATTTCATACACTCAAGTCTTTGTTCTGGGCGATGGTGTTGCTGGTGCTCATCGTCTATGTCTTTGCAGCACTGTTCTCGCAAGCGATTCACGACCACATGAACTCTGCGGGTGATTCAATGGATACGGAGGACATAGAGGCTCCGGGGGTTAGGACCAGTTGCGGAAGTGCTCAGTGCAGTAAATGACTTGGTCCCTGATTCCTTGCATCTGTTGAAATGGACAGCGAAGTATCGCACAGACGTTAAGTGATAGTAATGTACCAATATGTTTTGATTTCACTTTGTCTACATATAAGTCATATAAGCATAACATACTGGCCGGCATTTATCTGGCATGCGGCAGGCTGCTCGCCGCTATTATGGGTCGCTGGCCTACACCATGCTCAGCCTCTTCATGAGTATCTCTGGTGGCGTGAGCTGGTTTGAGGTCATTCGTCCCCTCGAGGCAGCTATCCTGTAGTTAGTCAGTTTTTCGGCCTCATACATACACGACAGCGAAAGTAGGAGGTGCGCACTGGTATTTGTCCGTCTTCTGCCCCCCCTGTCAGGCGATCTCCCTCGGATGGGTCTTTTGCTTTCTGTTTTACGCTGCCCGTCCAATTCAGCATCTTCTTCTTTTTTCAGCAGAACACCGCAAACGTCGACAGGAACAAAACCGACATGTACGCAGTGGCAAAGTTCTTCTTGCCTCAGGTGAGTTTTACGTACTTCGCTGTGCTGAACGTCGTGTCCGGTCCGGCATTGTGAGGGCTACGGCATCGAGACACACACACGCACACACATGTTGGTCATGCAAGAATATGCATAACAAACCTCTGCCGCTCCACCTTGACAGGCGAAGGCCTCGATATAAAGATGACTGGGTTTCACGATGTGTGTATATGCAACTGAGGGAAGGCACCTAGCATAGCCTGTCATAGCACACTCAAAAGCCGCATGGCAAAAAAAGGCATGGAGTAAACAATCCACCGGCAACCTCGGAAAATTCTGATGGCATTGAAGCCGATCGGGAAGTTGTAAGCTCAAGATGGAAGGACGAAGCTTCCCCTGGCTTCCAGTGGCTCAGTACATGAGCTGGAGCGTTCCGCGGTTTCGTGTGAGATTCTTGCCCACTCTTCGGAGTCTTTAAAGAAGTCAGCTAATGCAGCTGAAATCAACTCGAAAGCTGAAGCCCTCACATCCTCCCCGAAATCCACCCAAGACAGCGAAGCGAAGCATTTCCGCCGATGTGCGTCCAGGCACAGTAAGCCATAACATGGCAAAAAGCAGGTACGCTGGGTTGATCAGACCCAGTATCAGCCGTGGCATAGCCCTCTTCGTTGGGCAACCAGCTATGCTCACGGGGTTGCCCCCCTGCACTGTACAGAAAATGTAAATGCTATCTCTTGGTAGCAGAGTTCCCCACCACACACACACACACACAGACACACACAGACACACACACACACAGACAAACGCAGTTAGTCTGCATTCAAGTGCAGATGTGCTCCGTGCAGCCCAGCGACCGGAAACTTGCCTCTTTCGTCGGAGTAGGTGTTTGTTTTGCTTTGACAACAGGGGGCTCATGCCCCCTACCTCCTGCCATACCTGTACTCCCCTGAGTATGTGTCCGGCGCCTCTACCTTCGACGCTTCACCAAGGTAACCGCGGTGTTTTGTCAAGTTGCTATAGATAGTGCGCAACAAGACCATGCGTCGGTCATCCAGTCCATCCTCGAGAACAAGGAGCTGCCCATCGCAATGGCTGAGATTCGATTTGTCTGAATTTCCTTGGGGACAGCGACAGGGGGCCTTCGCACCGTACTGCTTCGTCATTGATGTAAGGGCATGAAAGGGTGGCTGGAAAGGGGCACTTGTTGCATAGCGGTCCGTATCAAATCACGGAAAGATGAGTTTCAGTACAATGTAGAGGTTCCCGCACTTCTCCCGGTTCAGGGGTTTAAGAAGGATTGAAAACCCCCAAAAGATGGACAACTATCACCTCCTCCTCTGTTGATAGGAATCGGTCGTGCTTTGTGAAAATCTCTAACTTTCAGGTAGGGCCACTTTAGGGGCCCCAGTCAAGCAGCTATGCCTAACCATGGTCTTATGCAAACGGCAGCTTCGTGTGAGATGAAGAAAACCGGCCCAATATCGAAACATGCAGAAGTCTCTCTGCAACGAAGCGAACAGAGAAACACGCCTCCGAGCCAAGGTACCAGAAATCTCGAAAAGTGTTGTCAGTGTTCAGATTTGCGCGGTTCATAGTGCGAGCCATGCTTCCAGGGCGCTGGAGGTTTTCTCCTTCCCACGACTTGCTCACTCTCTCTCGCTCTCTCTCTCTCCCTTTGTGATCTTTGGTTGCTGCTCCGCAATCCGGGGCATGTTTCAGACAACTCGGGCTATTGATATTGTGCTGGGATGATGGCGACGGGTAGACTAAGACTTTGACATGGTGTAATTCTGAAGGAGGCGCATCGGGCGAAGATTCGTCGACTATTCAGCCAATTCGGCGGGGAGGACGACGAGGGGTAATCGGGAGAATTTTGTTTCACGCTTGGGGGCAGTTTGCTAGTGCTGCGGACATGTGCGTTTAGCGCGTAACAAGCTGCCTTCGTTTCGCGGTCGAAATTGCACATGAAACCACGAACAACGAATTCCCGAGTCTCTACTGCTGCGGGCTTGGAAAAACCAAGCAAGCATGCAAGGACTGCACGACAATTACCTTTGCGATGTCCCGCTCCCGGAATGATGGGGCATGATTTGGTTTCGGGGGTTTTGGGTTTTCGGCCGCGGCATGAGGGTGACGTCATCGTATCCGATACTCGATAGTTTGCAAGTGCGACGGAGGCAAGTTGGAAAATTACCGCTACTGCCACTGCTCCTGCTGCTGCTACTCCTCCTACTCCTACTCCTCCTACAACTACTTCTAGTACTACTGCTACTACTCTGACTGGATTGAGCATTGGTAGGTAAGAAGCAGAGTTTCTTCTGGGCAGAAGGCCGGTATTCTGAGATCAATTGAGTTCAATCCTTGCCGAGGTTTGAGGAGACGATCAAATCGCCAGAGGTTCGTGAATATTTTGAAAGCTTGGGCCTTGATATCTGGGATGCATGGTCGTTCTTCAAGCTGTTGGCTTCTTGGCCTTTCTTGCTGGACTTGTGGAAAGTGTCGAAGCACGGTACAAGCAAACCAAACCCCTCGGCGTTCAGGGCGAAGGACCAGGCAATCGCAAGAAGCAACAAAGGATCTGGACGCTGGTGGTGAGGTGGAGATAGACGAGTTCCTGATGGGATGTTTGCGATTGAGAGGCAATGCGCGGGCTGTCGATGCGCTCGGCCTCGAACTTGTACTCAAACATAGGATGTGGTTTGTTTGTCTGGACATGTTTCAATGATGCTGCCCTGTTCACTTGTCGTCAGCATTTGTCACCCTGGCTGTACCACTGCCGCTACTGGGTTCTCACCAGCATGGTGCACTTCCATTGCTAGCATGACCTTCTCACGTGTTCCACACCCAAGGTTGGAAAACTTATCCATGATCAAACCTGGCTCATCAAAATGTTCGGACGCTTTCAATGCCATGTGGAGGATCAGTTGTCTCAGCTGAGACTTGAATACAACCGATCCATGATTTGTCGATTGCTTAAATCGTAAAGGTTCCAAATTCGGCCCCCCAGCTGCAGCACCGCCTCCCCAACACACAAGGACTGCGGCGCTGTCAGTGCCGTTGAGATCCGATGGCATTGAAACAGTGTGTGACGACCTTGGCTCTGGATTTGGGCCAGATCTTGCTTGCACGCCTTTGAAGCACCATCAGATTGCCTCGGTGCACTATCCGTGAGAGCCAGTGGCCTCACTAGCCATTCGCCCTGTAAGAGGAATGAATTTAGATTCTTTTTCGAATTCGTGTGCAATTTTACCTTAGCAGCGGTTTTCTGCATGCCATGTCCGAGATCATGTGCCTGCCTGTTCCTGCGTCATACTTCTGCCAGGGTTAGTAGGCAGCCTTCAAACCTTTCTGTCAATACGTACCCGGCAGCAACCTTGCATGACAGACCCTTGTGTGCAAGACTCCGACCCTTCAAAAAGGTATAACAAAGGACGATAATGAATTGAATAAACAAGCAACCATATCAAACTATATCATGAATTGAACATTTAGCTGCAAAGAAGGTTTATTACATTCATGTTATTTTCGAAATAATTTATGAACATTATGATTTTTATAGTATTATATTCTATACATTGAATTTCCGTATTCGATATTTTCACATTCTAAAATCATTGAAGCATTCAACGAAATCGATAGATTTATATATAAATATATAGAATATCAAATGATAATCTAATTTATAGATAGATATATTCTCTAATAAAATGGTGTCGTGCTGGTCGCAGCCGTTTTTTTGTGCGCGCCCCTGGCCCTGGAACCTCGTCCTTTGGTGTGTTTCCTTTTGAAAGCCTCTTGCGTGACTGTCTCGCAATACTAAAACTTCGGAAATTTTAGTACCGGGAGCAATTTTTTCCCGCTACTAAAATTTCCCTTTAGGAAATCCCGCGGTATTAAAATTTCGGAAATTTTGCTAGCTCGAGGGGGACATGCTCCCGGTAATAAAATTTCCAAAAGTTTCGGTAGGCATGCTCGCGGTCACAGAATTTCCGAAATTGTTGGGACGTGCTCGCGGCAATAAAATTTCTGAAATTTTAGTACCGGGAGCATGTCC